ACGCCACGTAAAATGGCTGACAAATCAGTACAACGAGGAGATCCGAAACAGCCAGGTAAAACAGAAGGATGAACGAAGGCGAATGAAGTTCTTGCGTTTTCCAGATTGCTTGTAGAATAACAGAATTTCCCAAACAGGTTATCATGCAAAACACTGCATTGAGAATACAAGTTAGAATATTAGCTGTTTGTGTTGCTTCTGTTTTGTCCAAGTTTATGTCCAAAAAGGAACATGTCCGCAGCTGGGAGTTGTTATTCATCTTGCGGTAACTATGTGTCCACTGTTAACATCCCAAAGAGGTTCAAGCCAATGTCATAAGTGATTGTCAATCTCTAAGTACAATTTGCAGGTACGTAAATGTGTCAAGGAAAGCTTTTCAAGGACTTGAAGATTATCCTGTTTTGTATGTTGATCACAAAACTTAATTGCGACTGCTTCCTTCAATAGGCTAAAATTAAAATGTGTCAAACTGAAGTGAAAGTGAATTCCAATTTCATATGCCCGCTAATTTGAGGGTATTGTTCAGGTTTCTTAACAAAATTTGTAATTATAATTGCATTGAGCACCCTACTAAAACTGAGGTAATATCAGTATATATCATATTCACTATAAGCTATTTCAGTTTCTAAAAGCACGGCTACTTCAGTCTCTAAAAACAGGGTTTCTTTTTCTGATTTTGCTAGATTTCAGCAGCAACAATTAAGGTAAGCTTATGAAGTCGTCTTGTGGCAACTACGCGAAATTTATTTAGTGTTAGTTTCGAAACTCTACTTTTGAAATTTTATTCTCGCGATATATTCACTTACATTGAAGGCGGAAGATCATATTACTTCTTCGTATTTTGCTCAACGAAATATTGGTTCAGTTTGATGGAAATTGAGTTTATTTGCGATATTATAGAAGGGTTGCTCTGAGACCTTCAGTTGCCGTAACTTTCGGGCGGCGCCTTGGACGTTTTAACGCTACTTAAGCGACAAAGCAAACATTGCGACTTAGGCAACTTAAGGCGACTTTAGTTGACTTAAGCGAGCTAAGGAGATGTTATTGCACTTCAGTGCTATAAACCTAAACTTAGTAACCGTCGTTTCGTATATTTTAAAAACTTCACAAAATTTAAGCCGATACTGTAATTATTATTTTCTCTAATTTTGGGTTCGCACAAGTCACCATAGTTTTAAGCATCCAGATTTCAAACCATATTAGATAAAAAAAAAAAATATAGAAAGCTAGACTTTCAGTACCAGTTTTTGTTATAATGATAATGATAACGATAAATTCCAGCAAGGTATCATGAATGTTAGTGACGATATCACAATAGAAACCAGCATCAAACAGAACTATCAAAAATATATTCATAGTGACCAAAATTTTAAATTTTTAAGTGGTGCTGTGATCTAATTTTTACCCCTTATAGTTTTAGTTTTATCACGTAGAATTCCACGAAAGGTAAAAACGCCGTCTACCGTTTGCAAATATCTGCATTGGTTCCAGAGATATTTCAGTTTCAAAAATGTGTAAAAAATGCAAATGAGAAGAATGATGACGTCATACACTCAACCAAATATCGCATCAAGTATATACTCTAAATAGAACTATCTCGGTCAATTTGCAGCAGAAACCATTGAAAATTGATAAGCTTTTAGTTCTACATATAACACACCTACGGCTATAAAAATTTCAGTTCCCATGAAAACCAACCAAGTCTTTTCCAATACCCTACAACCTGATTTCATTAGTTTAGTGATTTTCAGCTCGAAAAACATAAAACATGGCCATGAACTCGACTTAACATATTTATATCCTTGTTGGATCACGCAGATCAGACACCATTGGCAAATATCAATATAGAACGCCAAAGGTGGCCAGAAAAGCCTTTGATATCCGGGAGGTCTGGAACCCAGTATTTTGCCACGGTAACAAAAATGTGAGGATCATATTGTGGAGCACCCTCTAGTAGAATCGGACTGCCAAGAATCGAACATTTCAAATTGGCTGAGATATCTTTGTTCATCATATTTGATCAGAATTCGGTTGAGTTTATGACGTCATCACTTAGCTAATTTGCGTATTTTAAAAACTTGAATATCTCTGGAATGAAAAGAGATATTTGAAAATAGTAAACAGCATTTTTCTTCTCGCACAGACTACCTTTCTATGTCTTTAAATGGCTTAGATAGGAAAGATGCCATGATTTAGCTCGATTTAAACAAAACTATTGATATGTTTTCCATAATTCAAACAACAAGGAAATAATTAATTAAAATTAGGCAAGCTTATTTAGATGCTTTATAAGCTTTATTTCACAAAGCTTTTAGGCCATTGAGGCTAATTCGGGGCTAGGCAGAGTGCTATATAATCTAACCGAAGTGCTGCTGCTCTGCCGAAATAGTAGAGATTATCCTCGGCGTCGTCATTGTTATTACTCAGAGGCCTTTATGTTTAGTCTCTGGTCTCCTGCTCCCTCAGTCACTCCCTTCCCCATCCC